TCTCTGTTTTTTTCTTTAATTTTCTTTACATGAACTGTTGCCATGTTTCGCTTGATATGGATGTTTGCTTGTGTATATAGAAGAAGAAATTGATGCAGTTGTTTGCTTGTGGTGTTTATGAATTGACGCCATCTCTGTGTATATTTAGATGCAATTGCTGATGAGTGGCATGTTGTTTATGCATATGAATCGATTCATGTCGTCGTACGTGCTTGTGTATGTGAGTGAGATGTTGAACAGCATGCATCTGTTTACACGAATGTTTGCATCTGTTTACACAGCCCAACCGAACACCCTCTTAATCTTGAACGCCTCCGCGCCGCAGAGAAGCACGGTAGGAAGCGAGGATCCGCCACTGTTCTCTCCGGCCACGCTCGCAGCAGCCAAGACGCCCGCAGCACCACCCGCGGCCATGAGTATCTCAGGCGAGGTCCCCGACGAAGGCTCTGACGGCGAGGAGGTCTTCATCGACGAGCAGGACATCATCCAGGAGATACACCTCGACGAGGAAGGTCAGTACTTCTCCTCATCCTGCCTAGCGGCTAGCAGGCTCTTCCTCCCTTTTGCTTGCTCTGTGCTTACTGCTGTCCTTGTTCAGATCTCCCCGACCATGATGATGATGACGATGACGATGAGGAAGACCAAGAGATGGGTATGTGGCAGCTGATAGTAGCGTTTCTGTCTACTGTTGAACTTGCTAGGACTGGTTATGTTCAGGGCATGCTAGCTCAATTTTTAATCTTCGCTCATGGGTCATGGGGAATTGTTTTGATCCTCCACAAAACAATGATATTAATTAGACTATTTCCCTGCTACTTCTGGCCTAGAAAATTATACACTACACCAAACTTCACCCACCGTAGTACCTTATTCAGGATTCACCTGGTTTAGTATTGTCATACCGTTCACAAGGCTAACATATTTCGATTGCGTTTGTTCTTACTGGAATAAGATAATGTCTTTTAACAATGATGAATGGATATATCCTTTACACTGTATCTTTTTGTAAGTGAGCTCAGCCATGACTCTTCTTCCAGGAGTACCTCACATTTTCATTTTGATAAACGTGGTGCTATGCCACTAGTTATTTGCTTACTTTACATTCAGCGCACTCCGTATAATCTGAAATACTTGCACTGTGAGATTTAAATGTGCTAGTAATTCAAGTTCCATTTTGTTCTTTGTTGTTTCAGATGAGGTTGAGGATCATTCAGCTTATGCATTTCATGGGCATACAGGCAAGACCTCATCGAGCAAATTAACTTACTACATCTTGTGATGATTCGTTGTTTTCCACTAATAAGTTAGTTAGATTCACCATGCAGAGTACCCATGCACTGAAAAACAATTCTGGTAATAGTTGGTCTTCATATCTTGTATACAGATGAGGTCTTTGCTGCTGCGTGCAGTCCTATAGATGCATCACTTGTTGTCTCTGGAGGTAAAGATGACAGAGGGTTTCTTTGGAGGATTGGATCTGCACAGGAATTTCAGGAGCTGACTGGTATGGTTGCTCATCTTCAGTAGTCTAGTGAGATTTCTGTGCTTGATTTTTCTGTGCAAACGTTTCTCAGAACTTTCTCTATGCTTCATCACCTATCACTGCTGTTAAAATGCCTGTTTCTATTTCTGATATCTATAAATACAAAAGTATATTTGATATCTCTTAGCAATCTTTTCATGATTTTTTTGGGGCAAAGCTTTATTTTTCTGTTTACTTTGCATCGATATGTACCTTAATGTGTCAGTATATGCCTAGAATTGTCTACCAAGCTTACAATACCTATTGCCGATACAGGACATGGAGACACGGTGTGCACTGTGGCTTTCAGTTCAGATGGGAAATTGGTGGCTTGTGGAAGTATGGATGGACAGATAAATGTATGGAACACAGCTACACGGACACTTCAGGGAACCCTCGAGGGTTCCTCAGGATCAGGCTTTGAGGTGAGATGATCCTGGTCTCTTTCATTTGGCTGACTATATATCCATAGCCGTTTCCATTGTGGTAATCGATGATTAGTTACGCGGTGTAACTATATGTCTTCTGTTTTGTAGTGGCTCAGATGGCATCCACGCGGTAACTTGATAATTGCAGGATCAGAAGACTGTAACGTATGGATGTGGAATGCTGAGCACAATGCCTTTCTCAATACATTTGCTGGTCACAGTAGCACAGTGACATGTGGTGATTTTACCCCTGATGGTACTGAGCAATTTCTTCCAGTGTTATTTATATCATGCATTGTTAATGTTGTTAAGCAGCCTCTGAATAAGGTTTAATATACCACCCAAGTCTGGACTTTATTTGTCCTGTTTCTGGAATGCCTCGGCATGAAAACACACCCTTGTTTGTAACAATCTGTTTTTAGTTATCAATACAGAGCTCCTTCATATCAGTTCAGATTTCAGAGAAACATATGGATCATGGCGTATTTAACATTTCTTCTGCTAAGTTGTGTTCTAAGCTAATTTCTGTTGAACTAGAAGTGATGGAAAAAAAAATAGCAAGGGCAAATAACAGAATGGCCTGTATGATGCTTTAACATTTTAGTTCATTTTTACTTGCTTACTTTAGAAGTTCAGATCTCCGATGTAGTATATTCATTTTTAGCTAATTCACGTGTTTCATTATGAAGGTAAGCTTATATGTAGTGGATCTGATGATGCAACATTGAGGATATGGGATCCCAGAAGCGCACAGTGCAGACATGTTGTTCGGGGTAAATAATTTTCTATGTTGTAATTATCAATTTATCATATATTCATATGGTTGTTTCTGTATGTTCTCTGTCAACCCTGAACTTTACCATCCAATCCTTTACCTTATTCTAGGTCATGGCTATCATACTCAAGGATTGACATGCTTAGCCATTACTCCGGACTCCCAATCAATTGTTAGTGGCTCGGAGGATAATTCTGTGCACATTGTGAGCATAAACTCAGGCCAGGTGGGTGCATTTTATGGTTCAAGTGTTTCCCTTTCTTTCCATATTCTTTCTCCGTTCAAATAGAAAAAAGGTTGATAAATCTTCTAATGCAAGTTGGCTTACTTGATGCAACTTGTGGTTCTGACTATTGGTTTGTTTTGTATGGTAGATTATGTAAGAATATTTTGATTATTGATTACCTTGTTTTGGTTGTAGCAATTCTGTAGGGTTTTTGTTCCTAAGATAAACTCCTGGTTTTGTTTTCTTAGGAAATTTACTTGTACCCTGTTGGTAGTTCTTGAACTTTTAGAAACATGTGCTGGTGGATCTTTGTGTAAGAAGTGTCGCTTGTTCTGCAGGTTGTTGGTTCATTAGTTGGCCACACCAATTCCATCGAGTGCATTGGCATCTCATCGAGGTACTGTTTGGTGATATGTTCTTGGATCGTTGGAGTCTGTATGGTAAATCTGTTGCACAATGCACATTGCCTTGCTATTGACCTAAGCTAGCTGGTGCCCCTGTTATCTGCAGGTACAACTGGGTGGCTACAGGGAGCATTGATAGAACTCTCATTATCTGGGACCTTGCTCGTCAGGCAATTCGATCTACTTGTGAGCATGATGTGAGTGTAGAAATCAATCTGCATTTTTTGTTTGTATAAATATTTCTATGTTGCTGTGAACTTACCATTGTTGGTGGTGTCTGACAAGCAGGAAGGTGTGACATGCCTGGCATGGCTGGGTTCGTCGAGGTATGTAGCGTCGGGGTGCATCGATGGCATGGTGCGCATCTGGGACAGCCTCTCTGGGGACTTGGCTCGCACGTTCAGCGGGCACAGGGACGTCGTGCAGTCACTGGCCGTCTCTGCCGACGGCAACTCCATAGTCTCGGTCTCCACGGATAAATCTGCCCGTGTCTTTGACATCTCTATGTTCAAGTGAGAAAAAAGCATACTAGCAACAGCTTGATTGATTTGGTTGGTCAGTCAGGAATGCGGTTTATTCAGCTTGTATGGTCAGGAATTATACTTACAGGCTTGCAGCCATCATGGGGGCACTCAAACTTTGGACTTGTTCTTTACATGTAGTCGGTGGCGCAAGTGGTACAAGAGTCACAAGACCCTCCTAAGTTGAGGGTAGTCGGTTGTGTACAAGCACTTCATTTATCTAACGTTGGGGTTTTGCTTGACATTCTGCTGCATTTCCTCCTTACTGCTGCTACCGATGGAAGGAAGCAACTTGTGCTTGTTGGTACTGCTGAACTGGCAATGGGCTTGCTGCTGGTTATATGTTGCGCCCATACTTCGTGCTGGATTAAGTTGTTTATTCTCCATGGTTGATTATGTTAATTCCGTTTAAATATTAGCTTAAATATCAACCTAATTGCTTGAAAGCGCAACCTACATTGGCTTAAACTAGCAAAAGGGCCCGTGCGTTGCAATGGGGTAATAAAATTGCAACGTTCAAATCAATCCATCGAGAACATAAATATCATTTGGTCAAAAAAAGAGCATAAATATCTAAATGAATATATAAAAAAATATTAAATCAAATCAAATGAAATCGGTGGCTGGGAGCACTTAAGAAATAGTCGTGCTAATATTACACATATAGTAATTGACTACCCACAAGCTTAGAGGCCACAATTTATTCTAAAAGCCTTAGTTTAATTTAGCGATTGAAACATGCATTATCCAATGTGTCAATACAAACATTGCTTATATTGCAAGAAACTACTGTGTATTACTTTTAAAATCCAGTAGCTTACTCAATCAAATGTTTGGCACTACTTTCCATCAGTTTTCATTAATCAAACAGTATAGCGTACGAACCCGGCATCAAAAAATAATTCAAATCTCAAGAAAATCAGCTTCACTCTTTCGGTCTTATACAGACTTCCGAGTAATAGAAGTACACAGTGACACTAATATTATTATATCAGCCAAGGTTTCAAGATTAGACAAAAAAAAGCACCTTAAGTTACTGAAGGCACAAATTATTAGTTTTGGGAATCCTTGGATTGAGAATTATATTTGTGGCCCATTGATCATGTGGATGGAATAAGATGGACATGACACACACTGAAGTAATTCTCAGGTAAATTTCGGGTAAAAAATAACTCTTAATCTTCATATAAATTAGATAGAAGGAAATATCATGAAGATGTATGCAGAATTGCAGACATATGTTCTCACTTAGCAAAATAAGCAATGAAATTCAGAGTCAACATTGGTGTCAGCCCAAATTGTAGTATACAGATAAAGTAATTGGTCTCATGTTCTAGTATAGAAAATAAAGTAATCTTCAGAACTGATGTGCCTCCCTTATCCCACGAACTGCATTTGACAAGATAATTAGTAAAAGAATCAAGCAGATTTTTTCTGGTGAAATAAGATGCATTTGCATGCCTAGATGAACCCTCCATGTTTAATTCAATCGTGCATCATGTTTTCTGCTAACCCTGCTACATCCCTTGTCAAAGTTTCAACTTTATTAAAGGAAAGTAGTTTAAACTCTGAAAGAGGACAGGAAGTACCATTGTTTCCACCAAAACATTAATATATGTTAGGCATAATTTTGCATAAAAGAGTGAGAAAAATGGTTTCTTGTTCACTATAAAATATGAGCCTGAAAACCATTAGAGTACCAGGGTCCCCTTAAACATTCTGGTGCTTCTGTTATGCTAACTGTACATGCTTTGTTTCTGTATCAGTACTGTTATTACATCTGTAGCATGTGACATGCTTTCACTATTCTGATGTTGCTCCTATCCTCAAGTTTTTTAGTAAATTTCATTTGTACTAATAAACCCAGCAGTCATAAAAAAATTGGAAGATTGAAAGACACGTATAAAGATGATCTTATAAAACTTGTTCAAAGTTTTCCTCCTGGCATCATTTTCTCTTAACTCGGTAAAATATGTTTCCAGTTGTACACATATGATGCCAGCAGTGTGAATACTTTAAGACGGAATGATAAAATCACAAGTGCTGCTACATCTAATCCTACAAAAACAATTCAAGACATGTTTGTATTGAATATGTTAAATGCCAATACCAAGAGCATACCAATTTATCAAGAAGGGTGGTGAATTGTGAGCAGAACACGCTAGAAAGACAAAGCCTTTAAGATGTCCCTTTGAACATGAGATGTGGATCGTTTGTATTTACTGAATAGGTTCTGCTCCTGCCATTTACCTAACAATTTATTCAAGTTCCCCAGTTGCATAAAAAAAAAGAAGTAAAGATGTCAGATGTTAAGTTACTCACAGGGAATACAAATCTGCATCTCAAGCTCAAAGGTGTGGCACAGAAGATTTACTGCACTCATAGTCACACAAGTTTTACAGAATTCATACAAACAATTGGTCGAATGGCAATCTCATTGAACGAGACATTGTCAGACACAATCATAAGCAGGCACATAACAAACTCACCTACATCTATTTCTCTGAAACAGCAAAGACATCCAAAATCCCACAACAATTCCACTATATTGCCCAATGCCATGCAGCAGCCACAGCCACTACTTGCCCCAGCACAACCAGCAACAAAAGTAGCACATACATGCCTGGCCAGCTTCGTCTCTGATTGATGCGCAGGATGCACCTAGGCTGTGTCCCGGATCACCACCTCCTCGCTCTTCACCTGTGGTCCACGGACGGCCTCAACGCCAAGGATTTCCCGCTGCTCCGCTCCGTCGTGGCCGCGCGCGTGCCCAGCAGGCTGCTTGTGTTCGGACTCTCGCCACAGCTCCTCGCGCTCGCTGCGGTCAACTCTGGGCAGGGCACTGCCACCGCCTTCGTCGAAGATGCGGACAGCGCGCGGGGTGTGCTTGTTGGGCGTGGCCCCAGAGTCTCGGCGACCGTCCATCGGGCAAGGTACCCCGACCCGTCCGGAGGCGTGGGCGGTGCTGCGGCGCGCGAGGTCGAGCCCGGTGTGCCGGTGCCTGACGGGGACTGTGCGCAAGTTGGGCTGCCGGCTGGCTCTGACCTCTTTGCCGCCGGAGGTGCTTGACGTGAGGTGGGATGTGGTCGTCGGCGGCGGGCCGAGCAGGGCAGGTCCCGGGGAGCCGGGGCGGATGGGCGCCATATACACGACGACCGCACTCGCGCCCGCGGGGGGCGAAGCGGTGGACGTGGCGGTGCACGAGATGAACCGGACGACGGGAAGATCTGATGCCACAACCAGTCTTCTCTACCGAGCGGCGCCATGGCTGTCGGCCGACGAGCGCCTCACCGCGGCTGCTGGCCAACAAGGAAAAGGGGAGCACGGGTGCTAGGATGGAGACGCACCTAAAGGGGGGCCTGGGACACCGGAGGCGGAGGAGAGGCCGAGGGGCCGGAGGCGGAGGGGAGAGCCGGACCGCCGACGAGCTCGCCGACGAGAGCCCAGCCGAAGGTATCCCCCTTCGACCTTCTCTGCCACTGGCTGGATAAGATGAACAAAGGAGCGCGGTGGAATTCTAATAAATCCAGGGGTCAATGTGTAAAATCAAATCGTTTTTCCAGATACACTTAAATTGGGACCGCGGGTTGATTTCCCGGAAACTGCGGGGTTTTTCTGCAAAACGTGCAACGACGGACGACCAGAAGCAACCGGTGGTTTATTAGTA